GTTCACACGAATTCCTGTTGGTTTTGGGTCTGGTTATTTACCAAACTGCCATCCACGTTTGTACACCTATATAAGGGATTGTTTTAGGGTTTCTAAAGAATCAGGGAGTTAAATCAAGAGAGATTAACTTGTAATTGAGATTTGGAGAGCTTGTTCTTCAATTCTAGAGTGAGATTGTTAGAGATTGTAAATTACATACTCATAATCTAGAGGAGGTATTTTCCTTCGCCCAAAATCTGAGTTATTCTTGTATTCTTATTATTTCTCCTCAACCCACCTTTGATAATTCCGCGATCAAAGGTGCTCGCACGGCAACTCGTATCACCGGCGACGCGTGTTAGGTGTCAGCATATCCTTTCTTAGGATTCAGGATGAAATTCCCCATGCGTGTAAGGCATGGATTTTGGTGTTATTAATAACAACCTGCCACAATATTGAATATGTAGGCGGGTGTTCTTTTTAACGGTTAAGAACTAACCGGTAGTGCGGGTCAGGCGCAGAATTATCACTGTTTAGGTTTCAGGATAGGATACCCCAGAATCGAACTCTGGTGTCTTTTTCTATGGAGAAAGACTAAATCGGCAGCGCGTGTTAGGCGCAGGCTTATCCCTGCTTAGGATTCGGGATAAACTTTCTAGGATGAATCCTAGATTGATAAATTCTTGGAAAAGGTTGGTATGGGAAAGGAAGAATTTTATATTCTATTTCCCGGTCTTCTATTAGGGTGAAGGTGAACCCGAATACAAGGAAGGAAGAATTTTATATTCTATTCCTTGATTCTGGAAAGGAAGAATTTTATATTCTATTTCCAGCGCAAAAGAAACTAGAAGTGGGATCTCCACTCCGAGAATCGGACAGATTCGGATAATCCTAATTGTCGGAAGGTTAGATTACCGAATTAAAGATGAATTCCTCGTTTATCGAGAGTGAATTATGGTTTTGGCCCTAACTGTAGGAAGGTTTGACCAAGCGGGAGTTTGAGGTGATCCTAACTATAGGAAGGTTTGATCACTCGATTTGAAAGTGGACCTCTCGTTCATTGGAGGAATCGAGAGGGGATTTTGGTTGTGGCCCTAACTTTTATAGGTTTGACCTGAAAGCAAAGGGAGTGGAATACAAGTAGCAGTAGAAATACTGGTTTGTACTGGCCACTCGATGAAGGGTTTTGACGTTAAGTAATCAGGACTTAACACGTCAAGCTTTGGAAATTGCCATGAATTAGCGGACAGAAAATTTAGTGGACCCACCGTCAATTGACTTGATCAGTGGGGGATTTTTGTGAGGAAAGATTAATCTGTCAAAAGGATCGAATCTCGTCTCAACAAGATAACTCATGAGAATTAGTGAATTTGATAACAATAATAGAAAACCTTCCGACATTTAGAGTTTAAATGTGGATGTTTTACTTATCACTTTTATAGTGATTGGGTTATCCCTAAGAATATCACCAGTGATATTCTTTCAGGAACTTCCCAAAACGTGAATAATCCACCCCCATCTTCCCTTGTGGAACTGGGTCCGACATTGTACTCAGTTACATGACCGGGTTATCCTTAAGAATATTACATATAAAAATTCCCCAGGAACTTCCCGTGAAAGAAATGAAACAGTTTAGACTCATATACATGTTGGAGTATCAGGGAGCAGTTTAACCTCTTATACCGGTCGGAGGATTGAGAAGCAGTTTATACTCTTATACTTGTCGGAGTCTTGTCGTTCTCAATTGGCTTACCCTAGCGTTATAACGCCGGCTTCAACCAAGGTTTGGATGCTATTTTTAAGAGCGAAGCAATCCTTGGTAGGATGAAGGATCCTCCTGTGGTACGCACAGTATTTCGGATCCGCAGTGTTATCAGCTTCCTCCTGATTTACGACAGGTGGTAGCTTGATCTTGTTGTTTTCAAGGAGGGTCTCGAAGATGGCTGGAACGTCTTCGTCCTTGAATGAGTACTCTTTTTGGAGCCTCTGATCCGAAGTCTTCTGTTGTCTCCGGGGCTGCTATTGCGACGTTTGATCAACAGCCGCTGCAGGTGTCTTGCCCCTACCACGAGAGGCGAAGTTCGAGTTCGGAGGATTAGCCGTTGGTTGGCTCCTCTCGGCTTTCTTCCTTCGGAGGAATCGCTCGGCTTGCTCTCCTCGGACCTTCAAATCCTTTCATGTTTTGGACGGTGCTGTCCCCATTGCTTCCAACACGTCCAATGCGAGGTTGTTGTGGCAAGTCTGGAGAATGAACTCCTCAGTGATCGGGTCCCGACAGTTCATCGTCTTGTTCCGGAACCTTTTGATGAAGGTATCAACTAATTCTCCGTCTTTCTGTTTCTTGTCAAGCAACGACCCGATGGATATCTCGGTGTCATCGTCGAAGAAGTCGGTGAGGAATTTAGTCTTCATGTCGTCCCAGCTATTCACACTCCCTGGCTTGAGGCGGCAATACCAATCGAAGGAGGCTCCACGAAGAGTGCCAACGAAGGACCGTACCATCAGAGGCTCATTACCAGAAATAACCCCTAGGTGTGATTTGAAGTAAATCAAATGCTGAGTGGGTGAACCCTCCCCATCAAACAGCGTGAAGTTAATTAGATTGAACTTCGCCGGATATAGAATTGATTCCCATTCTCTTGGTATGGACAAGGAATGCCCGTCTTTTTCATCTCTTGAGTGGAAATCAACGTATTGATTTTGCTCTCGAGGTTTTTAATCTTTAAACTTTCACCTGTGTTTTCGCTAGCAATTTTGCTCTCGAGGTTTTTAATCTTTAAACTTTCACCTGTGTTTTCGCTAGCATTCTCGTTACCACCCCCTGCATTGACGGGAGGATTATATTCTCGTTACCACCCCCTGCATTGACGGGAGGATTATTAGCATTATGAGCTTCATTCGCACCTGTGTCTTCATCTTCCTGATTAACCTAGTTACGACGACTTGGTTCGCCTTGCTGGTTTATCAGTGCTTGGATTTGTTGGTCATGCATTTCTCTCATATTCTACATGGCCATCTGCATTTCGAACCTGAAGCTCTACTGTTGTTTAGCCATGGCTTCTTCAAGCATCTTGGCCACTTGTTCCGCACTTATCATAAGTGACTCGTGGGGTTGTCCCTCGCTGGATACCGTATTATCTGATGCGACCGCAGAGCAGGCATCCGATTCTTCATCTTCTGAAGGTAATCTTGTCCGAATCCTACCATAAGTTCCTCGTACGATGGCTCCAGACTGCAGACGGGTTACACGCCAGGATGCTTCCGGAATCGACTCGGGATTATTCCGTGTCGATGTCCCTTTGCTGGTCATATTAGTGGTGACCCTCGGGAATTCCCCGTCTTCAACTACCGTTCTTCTTTGTCGGAAACGTCTAGACCTTGGTTTTGGCGTTTTGGCACTGAGCCTTTCGAAAACCGAAATTCTTTCGGGGATTGTTTTGATGCAGTTGCACTCAGACAATACTACCCGAATGAGTTTGGAACAAGGACATTGAGTTTCTAGTTCTCGAGGACTCATTTTCCTGGTTTTACTCGTACCCCCAACACGATAGTACAACTCGTCGGTTTGAAGGTTGGAGTAACCTATCGTGTGTTAGCACGACTTCTCAGGTATAACGCTATCGTCATCAGACGACAATGTTTCCTTCTGAGGGCGAACTGTCTTCTTTGGGCTTTCAAGAGTCACGCGCCTCGAAACATGCCTTTGTGGGCGTGAGTTCTCAATGGGCTCCTGGACTTCAATGCGCAAATTGGTGCGCCTAGCTGTCATGATCTCTTTGTCATGTTGAGGGTGGCGGCGACTCCTGTTCGCGGTGAAAATCGCCTTCATTGAATTCATTGTCATCTTGAATAACAACTTTTTGAGTTACAAAAGATCCGGTCTTTTTTAAATCCGGTTACAACGAAATCAAAGAAAAAAAAAATAAAAATTACAACTTTCTCCTTTTGAACAAATCGCGAGCTCCTGTTTAGCGGTCGCTCGCTTTGTGTGGGTTCTTTGCCGACGCCGGGGTTAATCCGTGGACCACCGCGCGATCTAGATCCGGTCAGATCTACACGATTCGACGGGTATTATTCCGCGAAGGGAATAATAGCCGGGGAGGATTAGTTCACCAAGGAAATAATCGTCCAAATCTCGGGATCAAAGGCCAAGCTTTGATCCGGAGTGTAGTCTCGTGTAGATCTCAGATCTCTGATTTTTACCTCTCGAACACCTGCCTTTTGTGACGCGGACGCTCGTCGAGAATCAGATCTGAATCTTCAAGTCCTCAAGTCTTCAAAACTCCAAGCTCGATCTTCAATTCGGCAGAGTTTCGGCTCTCAAAGTTCCAACCTTTTGAAATGAACAACCCATGGCCTATTTATAGGCACCCAGATCTGTGCCCAGGCACAGATCTGGGCTGAGGTGGCTCGGCCACAAGTGGCCGGCCACCCCTAGGTGGCTCGGCTCATGCCGAGCCACCCTGAGGTGGCTCGGCCACCCCAGGGGGTGGCTCGGCTTTGGCCGAGCCACCCTGGGGTGGCTCGGCCTTGGCCGAGCCACCTCAGGGTGGCTCGGCTTGGGCCGAGCCACCCTGAAGTGGCTCGGTTTCGGCCGAGCCCCTCAGGGTGTTTGGGTTCCGTCGTTTTGTCGTTGTTCCCGTTTTGTCCGTGATTCGGTTGTGCGGTTGATTTGTCTGGACTCGATTTGTTGACCTGATTTGGCAGTCGATCCGAATCCTGATTTGGCAGTAAATCCACTTCTGAGTTCGAGTCCGAAACCGATCTTGATTCGATCGTGATTCGTCCGAGTCCGCTCTTGTTTGAATGACTCGTTGATTCCCCGAACTGTTGGCTTGATTCCACGCTCCAATGGATGTATTCCGTTGCTTGCGTGCGGTTCGTCAACCTCGTCGCCTCGTTGAAGAAGAGTGTTAAGTGCTAATAAATAGTTGAAGAGTGTTAAGTGCTAATAAATTCCCAACATGATAACAGGCTAATAAGAGCTAAGATAATTAGTTAACCTGCATTTTCTTCGCCAATTCTAGCTTTTGTTTCTTAGTCTCATCCTCATCGTACCCCTTCTTAAATTGAACCATCGTTCTCCTGTGCAGTTCTGGTAGTGGGATAAAGGGAGCGTTCTGAGATTTAACAATATATTTATTAGTTTTATTTATCAAATATTCTAAGAAGCGGAGAGAATATACATAGAAGATTAAAAGACTTTATACCGTTGTCCTACAAAATTGATCCTCAATCTGGGCAAATGAAGTAGTCCCCGTATGATGATCGTAATCTTTTTTCCATCGATTAAGTTTATTTCTCCTACATTTTTCCTTCAACATGAACAAAGAGAATTTTAGTGCATGGTATAATATACAATGGAATATATCACTAGTTTCAGATAAATAACTTGATGATAATTAACTACTATACATATTTACCTGGTGCTCCTCTTGGCCCCACAATATTATAAGTGCAGCTAAGTGCTCAGGCTCAACCCTCTTATCTCGCTTGTATATCCTCTCCCAGTTGTGAGTGAAACAATCAAAGCATTTCTTCTTTATCTCATGTCTCCACTCCCGAAGAGAATGCTTGAACTTTCCCTGGTATCCAAATAAAAATTCCCACCCTACGGGATTGTCTTCGATGTTGAAATATCTCTAAAAAATAAAATATAGTTAATCATGGACAATTGATAGAATTGAAAAATAATTGTGCTAAATATAAGAATTTACCCACAATCTCGATATATACTCTCCAGGACATGAAATGACTGCTCCCAAGCCTCGTAATAGGGATTCACATTATCACTCCTCCGTATCAAACATCCAAGGTATGAGCTGAAGTTATTAGCCCATTGTCCGGTTGGAATCCCATTATGTCCCCATCTCACAATTGCTCGAAAACCATCCGGTGATAACTTTTTTTTAAAGTCACTTCCTTGGCGGCCTTTCTTCTGGTAAAGTTTTTCTCCTACAAAAAAGAAAGAATAGATATATCAACACTTTTATTTAATCAACACTTTTATTTAAGCGGAATTGATTAAGTTTTTGATCAAACTCACCAAATCTTTGTCTGATTTCATTTTTTGCATCAGACAAAACCTCCTCAATCAGTGGGGCCCATTCATCCAATCTTTTTTTCGCAAGTATGTATTTTTCAGTCTGCTTGAGTCTGTACCCCTCTGCACATGCTGGTAAGGGCCCGCGCTCAATCCCAGGAATGTATGCTCGAAGTATAACTGGAGGATCTGCATATAATGGCATGTGAGTCGGCTCTTCCTCACCCTCACCTATAAAAATAAAAGAAATAAATTATCATTGTGCATAAATCATGAATAAAAATACGTTCGTTAAACCAAGTTATACCTGACATCTCTCCTGAACTCTGAGGCTCTTCCTCAGTGGATTGGTCTTGACTGGGGTTAGCTTCGAATAACCTCCTGTTAATATTTTTAGACATCTGCAAGTTGAATAAACATACAAATTAATATAACATAGATGCAAATTAGCTTGGCGAAAATAAAAACAATATGTATTGTTGCGTTACTAAATTTTTCATTTCACATCAAGTTTGTAGGCATTTGCAAGCTGAATATACAAAATAAGATATTACATATTTATATCGTCCAAAAGGTAATTGAGATACATTGTAGTGATATTAAAGTTTTTATTATACAATTTGCAAACTAAAAAAAGTTACATAAAGACCCGATTACAAATAATTGCTGTTTAGCTCCTATTAATGTCTGTGATAATATTTGGAATGTCTGTCCGAGTTGTTGGAGCATCCGTTTCAAACACTACGTTTTGAGGGTACGAGAATTCATCGATCGTTGTATTTGGCTCATTGAAGTTGTTTATATAGCTCTCGTCATCACCTTCACTGTTTTTTTATTCTGCATAGTACTGCGTAGTGCCACAGGTAGCAATTGATGAAGAAGCACGTGATAATCATGAGTTTTAAGCCCTAATATTTTCCTTTCTTGCACCTGGACATAGTTCGATATGTTTGCGGAGTAACCATCTGGTAACTTTATTGATTTGAGGACTTGACAAAATGTTTGCATCTCAACTTTCGACATTGTAATACGAGACGCAGGCAACTCTAATCGGTCATTTCCGACATTTTTTTGGCTGCAGTTCCTCTCTAATGTTCAATGCAGTTAGATCTCGACGAGCTCGTAGATCATCCTTTGATTTATTAGCATCTTGCAACAGTGTGGACAAAAGATTATCACAAATATTTTTTTCAATGTGCATAACGTCCAAGTTGTGACGTATTTTTAGCTCTTTCCAATAGGGGAGTTGAAAAAAAATGCTGAATTTTGTCCATCCTGAAGGTAATTTTACGACTTCAGCCCCATCACTCACCACTTGTGCTTGTCTCTTTCGTTTTGGTATCCTTTTGTTAATACGCAAGTTCCTTACTCCAAGTAAATCTTCTTTCGAATAGCGCTTCTTTCCAAACCTGACGGCAGGGAACATCTCAAGCAAATGTACAATCTGATCCCCACGTAATGGACGCGGAGCATCTCTCTTCTCAACAGTATCATCAAAAAACTTGCTCCATTTTTTGGTTCTGTACCTGTGTTTTATGTTCAACCACCTTCTATTAAACCAATAACAAAACTTTCGACTGTGCTGCAGATAAAGACCTTTGAATTCTGGACCACACACTGGACATGCATATGTTCCCTTTGTAGACCAACCTGAAAGATTCGCATAGGCTGGAAAATCATTAATTGTCCATAGTAAAATAGCACGTAGTCTGAAAGACTGCTTTGCATGAGTATCATAAGTCATAACCCCTTCAGTCCAGAGTTGTTTTAACTCATCAATTAGCGGTTGGCTGCTTTAACTGGCTGGTGAACATCAGGCCGGGTTATCTGACTTTCCGGGTGAGGAATCCGTGTTTCATAGAGCCATACTTACCCTGCTGATTCGCTCGCCAGTTTGGCTATGATCAGCTTTACATCGGGAATCCTCGTCAGTAGCTTCGGACCCACGGCGGTTTGGTGGACAGTCTTCGTGCATGGTTGTGGACCGTGACGGGCTGTACTGGGGCTAAGTTCAGTCTCTCGAGTTCTGAGCGGCAGCTGAATCTCACCTTCCTAAGCTGCAAGTGGTTGTTAGCAGCCAATAAAACTATTCCTGTGAAGCCGATTGCAGAGCTAGAGGCTGAGGAGGCTTCTCAGGCTGATTCTCGTATGATTTGGGAAAATGCTCGATCACAAAGGGCACGGCACAAGACCCGTCGGATTGACGAAGAGGGAAAGAAGATCTTTCATTCTGCTGATGAAGCTTCAGGCGGAGATCGAGGTTGGTTTCTTACTCTTTCCCTTTATCTTCCAGAATTATTAAGCCTGACTATGGTTTGATGTTTCAGGGACCACAGCCGACCAGGATGAAGAGTTCCGTCCTTCTCCCCAGGCGGGACCTTCGATTGTTGCCCCTGCCGCTAGGCGGAAGAGATTAGCCCGCAAGCCGCGTGCAGTTTCGCGAGCATCGGATATGGATTTGGCCGGCGATGATCCTGCTAGTGATGGAGGTAACATCTACCCTATAGACTAGCCTCTTGATCATTCAGAACTTTGACTCACGCTTTTCCATTTCTATATAGGAGAGCGTGGGGAGAGCGAGATGAGTCCTGATCCCGTTTTCCACGATTCTACTTGTTCTGATGAGCCCGACTCACCGTACCAGGTAGAAAGGCCTGCAGAAGTTGGTGACATTAGGGAGACCGTCGATGTAGGACCCGGTTCGATGAATCCAGGTACATCTACTATTAACAATACACAAAGGAGTTGAATGATTTGGAATTTGTGCATTCCCTGATTGTCTCTATACTTCTTGCTCTTTTAGATAATTCGCAGGAGGCAAACATGGACTTTGGGAATAGAGAGGCTGACGCACCCATAAGAGGTAACTCATTTCTATTGGTCGTAGTCTCTTTATTCTCCTTTCGTACTTATATTCTCTTGTGTCAGATTTCTCGACTGATGATTTTGACGAGGAAGGCTTGCTTGTGGACACTCCTATGCTCCACTTTATGTATGGTTCTCCTCAAATTGATGACCAGTTGCCTGGAGATGTATTTCCTGAGTCTACGCTCCCTAAGAATCCCGAGGATGGTTTTTCTGAAGGTACGTAGCTCTTCTCAAGTTAATTATAGGACCAGTCAATTTTTGACTAATGCAACTATAATATGATGCATCTGAGAATTCTATTTTGTATTTGACAGGAGCTTTTGTCGAGACTGATCCTGTTGAGCCGGCTGTGGGACCAACTACACCAGTTGGTACACCCCCAGCCGTTACACCTCCGCCACCCCAAGTGATTCAAGGGGAAGAATGTATAACTTGAGCAACTGAGGAATGTCATTCATTTCTTCATCAAGGCTTTTGACGGATTTCTCCTTTTTGTGTAGGGCTTTCTTCTCGGCTTCACGTCCTTGTGAAGGAGTTGTTATCAGACAGTGACCCAGAGAAGCGTCCTTGTGAAGGAGTTGTTATCAGACAGCGACCCAGAGAAGATTGTCATCTGTATAGAGATCCGTTCCTTCTTCTCCTTTGTGAATGCTATGATTGACAAGCTCTTCCACGGCGGACTTTCCCTTCACCAGTTCAAGCCATTCCTTGATCTTAAGATAAATTCAATAAGGGATGCAGGGTACCCAGATATGGCGAAGTCTATTGTTGATGATCTTGACTGCCTAGAGCGTGAGCTTCAGATGTTTCGTGAGCTCCGGGATGCAGGTGCCTCCTCATTCATCGCTGCCGAGTTGGATACTCACTTACAGACATGGCGCGATGCTAAGTTCCTTGCTAAGTTAGACATTCAGGTGCAGCGGGATCGAGTGGACCGAGTTGAGGCCCACCTTGCTGCTAAATCATCTTCACTCACCGAGCTTGACTCTTCTCTTGCCTCCTGTGCGACCGAGATAGACCAGCTCAGAAGAGCACTCCGTGAAAAAGAGGAGACTTTTGGTATTCTTCAGATGACGAAGGTACAGGATCAACAAGCCCACACTGCTCTATCTGAAGAGTTGAAATCTTTGAAGCAGAAGCTGACCGAGACGGAGGAGGTTGCTGCGAAGACTTTAGCTACCAACGAGGAGTCCATCAGAGCTGAGCTGAGGCAAGCTTATGATGAGAAGCTGTCTAAGCTTAATCAGCAGATTTTTGGCCATGTTCTTGATGTATGATTTCATTTGCTGAATGTTTTGACTTTTGATCCCGTTAGTGGAACTGGTTTTTGTCTTTATCTTTATTATGATTCCTCATTCCGTTTGAAATGATTGACCATAATACTTTTAGGATTTTTGGCAAACCCTCAGCCATCAACGGATTTGATTAGCCTTTACCGACTACCGTTTGAGTCGGGCTAGCATGCGAATTGTCTAAATCCGTTCTCTTTATTATGATTCCTCATTCCGTTTGAAATGATTGACCATAATACTTTTAGGATTTTTGGCAAACCCTCAGCCATCAACGGATTTGATTAGCCTTTACCGACTACCGTTTGAGTCGGGCTAGCATGCGAATTGTATAAATCCGTTCCGCATGTAACGTTGTGCTAAGAGAGTAAATTCTCTGAGACTTTGTGCTATGATATTGAATACATAGACTTCGCCATTGTTACGGGAATAGGCTACCCGGC